TTATACAGAGGTCATGGCCTCATAGTAATGCCCGTGAGGGGCAAAGGCAGTTTGAAAAGCACTTCCCTGAAGATGAGCTCAGTCCCTTCCCCTCTCCTGTGCGTGCTCCCTCGTCTGGGTAAGACACTGGGTTTTCTGGGCAAATGTCTGGGGACACATTGGTGCCTAAAATTAATGAGAAGCCAGGCAAACTTGTAGAAAGAATGTATTAATGTTCAACTTGTGAAACGTAAGGTAGTTCCCTCAAGGCAGAGTATTCCTTCTCTCTCTGCAGACTCCACATTGGGTTTGGATTTGTCAGTGGACAAAATAGTATGTCTAGCAGCATAGTGATGGCCCCTGAGTCTTTCCACAGAACCGGCAGGACTCCTGCTGAGGTTGGAGAACACCAGGTCTAGGGAACAGGTGAGCTCCTTGCTCTTGGAAGCCTGCCTTCCCTCCGGCCACGACAGTGGCAGCTTCCCAGGTGGGGCCAGGTGAACGTCCTTCTTGGCCCTCGGTGCTGCAGGAGGGTAATCGAGGTTGGTACCAAGTGTGGGAACTCTCTGTGACCACGATTCCTATCAAGGTGTCAGGCAGCCAGCTGGCTCTGGGTAGCTCCCGGTGGTTACAGCGAGGCCGCGTTTCTGTTGCAAAGCTCAGGTGTATCTGCTCGGTGGGGAACGAGCAACAGGCACTGTTGCTGTGGGAACTGGGACCTGGGGACTTGGGGGTTCTGACCCAGCCACGAAGCCTGAAATGAAAGTGGATCTGGTACTCTCCACATGAAAGTGCTTTAGCAGAGAACAGTGCAGCCATGTGGGGCTATTAGGGCCACCTGGTTTCTCCTTCCAGAACGTGTTTCGAAGTAGTTCGCTCCCTGGTGGGGAAGGCATTCATCCACAGCAGCTGCCCCACTTCGTTTGTTTCACAGGTTGTGCAGATTTAGCTTCTGGGTATAAACTAGGAATAATTGTATGAATGTGATGAATGACTCTGGGAGCTGTGTTGAGCTCCTGACAAATAAAGGAGTCAGAGACTATGCCCGATTTGGTCTTATTCCCCCAACATTTAGGCCACCCTCCAGCACCTTGTAATCACTCAGAAATTTGTATGGCTGATTAGATGAAAACCTTGTAGCAGGTGCTGGTACTGACGCACCTTGCTTGGCAGACAGTGCTCTTTGCTGTAAACACCATCAAGTCAGCCAATTACGTGAAAGTGATTGACCTCAGAACATGGCGCAGCACACAGTGGTAACCGTCCTTCTCCGTGGTGAGGGCTTCCTGCCTGCACTTGCATGCTGCTGGTGCTCCCGGGGCGGGGGGGCTCGACACAGGAGAGAGAAGTGTTCTGGCCCTGTGTCTGTTCAGAGGACACATTTTCTTCGTGTACTAGGTAGTCATCAAGGACCTGCTGTGCATGGGGTATTTCTGAGACGCCTTTCCCAATAAGGCAGAGATGCACATATTTATGACCACAACAGAGTGTGTAAGGGCTGCCGCTGTCTAGAAGGGAATAGACTCTCCCCACAGAAGGAATTAGGGAAGACTACAAACAAAGGAGGTGAGGTTTGAACTCCACCTTGAGGAATGGGTAAGAACTTGGTGAGTAGAGGTGGGAGTGGAAAGACCATTCCAGGTGGAGAGGAAAGCAAGAGGAGAAGAGAAAGAGGATGGGTGGGATTTGGGGATCAGCTGAGTCTGCCAGAGCTTGGACTAGAAGGTGGCCCAACCTGGAGACCCCTGGATGCCACTCCAGGGCTGTAGATGACACTTGCCTTATACGTTCTGTAGCAAACACCCCAGCTCTTTCTTTCCCAGGCAAATACAGTGGGAACAGAGTAAGTTCTTTCACAGAGAACTTACGTTCCTGGCGAGTTTTCACCAGGCCATTTCCACTTGTTTGGGGCCCCTCTTCATTTTCTCTCAGTGGGAAAATGCGGCGATTAGTGAGGTAGTGAGAGGGTCAGCACATTTTGGCCCCATTGTAGACAGTAGTCTCGGGATACTATAGATTGTCGCCCCTGCTTTGATAGATGGGCTTAAAAACGGGAGGTCAGTTGGTCCCACTTCCCCAGTCAAAGTAAACTAGACTTGTTTCCGTGTAGCATACAGCTATTTCTGAATGCTCTACAGTATTGACTTGGTTCAGTGCTCTTAGACATGCCATCTTCTTTGTTCAGGGTTGTATCTGATTGCAAATACTCAGCCTAAGGTTAATATTTTATGAGACTCAATTGTAACTTGAGGCCCTGACTGGTGTGGCTCAGTGGGCTGGCCATCATCCTACAAACCAAAAGGTTACCAGTTTGATTCCCAGGCAGGGCACATGCCTGGGTTGCGGGTCAGGTCCCTGGTTTGGGGTGTGTGAGAGGCAGCCAGTCGATGTTTCTCTTGCACATTGATGTTCCTCTCCCTCTTTTTCTCTCTCCCTTCTCCTCTCTCTAAAATAAATAAATAAAATCTTTTTTAAAAAATCATAACTTGAGGCTGGAAATGTAATGACAGGCATGGCTATCATTAAAAAAGACAGCTATGCTTGCACGCAAGGCCATTTAGACTGAGCAACGCAAACCCCTGTTGGAGCACTAGTCCCGGGTCCTTCCTTTGCTATCTCCGTGGGCGCTGATGAACTTCAACACGTTATCTAGTTATTTCCTTATTGCCCATGAAGACCATATTAACACACTCCTTGACTGACATGTAAACATTTACAAAATGTTTATCATATCCCACACACTGACCTAAGGAAGAACTTTACAAACGTTAAGACATTTGTTCCCCCTGACAGCCATACGAAGTAGATAATATCATTACTGTTCCTGTTTTACAGGGGGGGAGATCAAGGCACAGAGAAGTGAGCAACTCGCCCAAGGTCACACAGCGAGTGTTCATCGCTGCTGGAGTACACGTGTGACTTGGAGGCTGTGACTGGTGTGTTTGGTGTCCCCTCTGTGGAAAAGGATGCACAGACCTTGCCTGGGTGGACTCTGTCAAGCTGTGCTCTGCGATAGAACTAAGTTCTTGCACCATTTTAATAGAGGCCTATCTTTTACAGTTCGTCACCAGCTGTCTTTCAAGAGACTCGGTATTCTAATCGACTGTAGCTGTTTGAAAGTGAATGGTTTCGGTGCAGGCACACCCCACATTTCAGCAACACCATGGCCCAGGGCTGCAGAGTGTGGCCTTGTATTTTGGAAGATGTGGCTGGTGGCTGTTGGTAGTGGCATTCCCCCAGATGCATGGCAGTGACTATATAGTTAATAAGAAATGACATTTTCTTAAAAAAATTTTTTTGGAAAGAGAGGAAGGGAGAGAGAGAGACACTGATGAGAGAAATAAGCATCAGTTGGTTGCTTCCTATAACAGGCCTGGACCTGGGATCGCTCGCACCAGACTGGGAATCTTGCACACCACGACTGGGTATCAAACCCGAAACCTAGGCGTGTGCCCTGACCTGGAATTGAACCCACAACCCTTCAATTATGGGACATCGCTCCAACCAACTGAGCCACACCAGCCACGGCCATTAAGTGACATTTTCTCTGTGCCTAGCACCCTGCTAAGCACATTATATGATTACTTATTTAATCCTCCCAACAACCCCATAAAGCAGGTCCTGTGAATGTCTCTTTTCTCTGGATATGGCAGCTGAGGCCTAGAGAGGCATATGCGGCACCTGCCACATAGCTAGGAAACAGCAGAGCAGGGACCTGAACCCTGGAACTGTTTCCTGAGCCTCTGGCCCAGACTACTGTGCACCCTGCCTGCTCCTGTGCCTGCTGCTGGTCTCTGACCCTCCGCGCCGACTGCCGCATGCTCTCGGGTCTGGCCCGCCCTGCTCGCTGCTGCGGAGTCTTGCCAAGGATCAACAGTTGATCTGGATAAATTTCTTGTAGCCATTCTGCCTCCTGTCTTCATAGGATCCCACTGCTTGCCTTTGCTTTACAGCAAGTGTTTGAAGAGTCAGATTTCACTCATTATTCTTCCATAGTCAACCTTACACCCCACCTGCGTTCAGCATTTGCTGAACACCACTCTGTCTTGCTAGCAGGCACCAAGAAGGTGGCACAGGTGTGGGAGGGGCAGATGGACCTGACAGGATACATCCTGACATGGAATGTGGGAACCATATGGAGGGGGCTTATGTTTATGATCTCATGTGAGCTGCTCATTAAGCACCTTGAGGGGTCTGTGCACCTATTTATAATACGTTTTGTTACTTTTAGACAATATTTTTCTGCATCAGGCATGGTATCCATTCTGTGGCAGATGCTCAGTAAGCTTTTGGTGAATGTGTGAACAAATTAGGGGCCGGATGAATGGATCATTTATTGCTTGGTTCCTTTGGTTAAATGGCATCCTAAAAGTTCCTGAGATGTTCTTGCCTTTGTCGCTACTGGGAATTGTATTTCCTCCACCTGGCTCTGCCCCCTGCATGCCTGGGCCCTCTCTCTGTCCTGCGTGTTCCCTGCCCCCCTCCATCTCCTATCAGTTCAGGAAGTGGCTGCACAGGTGGGGTTATGACCTGTCCTCATAGGTGGTGCCACAGATGGTGTTAGGTTCTATAGACAGAACCTATAGTTTTAGTTTAAATTCTATAGTTTTAGAATTCTATAGTTTTAGAATAAAACCAGCCTTTAGGGAAATTAGGAGTTAAATCGACTTCCTAAAGACTCCAATCACCATGTATGATATTAATGTAGGAACTTTCTGAGCCCTAAACAGACTTCAGGGCAACCTGCTGGGAACAGCCCGTGTTGGAGAAAGTCCTACCATGCAAGCACACACAGGGCAATTTGGGCCACCTCTGTTCTCAGGACTGAGAGTCACTTCTCAACTTGGCTGTTTTATTGAAAAGCTGGATTGAAAATACAATGTTAGAGAAACTACGTTCCTGGTACCAGCGATAGATTCCCAGGCGGGGTTTATATTCCAGTTGCAGTTTAAAGGTGATACATCCCGTCAGCCTCAGGACAGGCCGACATTAAGTGGCTTTCCTTTCTGTGTCTCTGACAGATGTGCCGTCCCCACACCAACGAGCCTCTGCCAAGATGAAACCAATAGAAGAGGGGGTGGAAGATGACGACGAGGTCTTTGAGCCCACGTCTCCCAAGACAGTTCAAGTCCATCAGTTGCCTTGATCGGAGAGAAGAGTCGAGTTACCAAGAGGGAAAAAAAGCTGTCTTGAAGAGATCCTGGAAAATACCAGTGCTTTTTCGCCGCTTTTAGATTATTCTGCTTTAGGACACCCAGACGGGTAGAGTGTGAGGCAGAAAAGAGAGGGAGATCCCAAAACAGAAAGGGTGTTTTCACTCTCCTTTTTGTTGGTCAGCTTTCCAAGTGGTCGTCTTCCTGAGCCTTCTGACTAAAACCTGCTCTATTCTGAGATATGTATTTTCACAGTATTTTCTAGATACACTATTATTTTAACTAAAAAAAAAAAAAATCTTAGTGTTCTGTCAAATGCTGTCTCACTTATTTTTCCAAGTGTGGTTCATCTTCCTTACAGGCGACTTTTTCACAATAGTGTTGTCCATTTGATAGCTTTAACAAACAACGTCAGTTTGAAATTGAAATGGAAGTAACATTAAAAAGCAGGGCATCTCAGGCTTTGCTCAAGTGATTTTTTTAGGTGGAAAATTTTCAAGAAAAATGTGATTTGACTGGAGTTTATTTTCTCCCAGGATAGACACACGACTCCACGGGATGGCCTGACTTGTCTGGGCATCGTGTGGATGGCTTGCTAATGAACAAAACTCATCGGGCTTTGTTCACATGACCCTTCTATTATCTATTTAAGAATTGGTCTGAAACGTCCCAGCTGGGAAGGTAACAGATGGAAGCAGTTCTGGACTTGGCAGCGGCCTTCAGTCGGACTCCCCTGGGCTGGGCGCCCTCCTGTCCCCCGTGTCCCGGTGAGGAAAGCACTGTCCTTGGGTGGGGAGGGCAGGAGAGTGAGGCGCCGAGCAAGTGGCCCGGAGCGAGGTGACTGACAGCGCAGCCTCGTTCTTTGGTCCCCGGGATTCGGAGGTTTCACACTGTCCTCCAGCCACAGATCGCTCTTAAACTGTGAGCTGCGGGTGGACCCCGCTGTGGGGGCGGAGGTGGCCACGGGCTGTGCCGTGGGCGCACGGCCTGGACAGCGCTGCGAGGGCCTTGGTTCCACTCTCTTTGCTACCTGAATCACGTGTTAGGAAACAGTGGTGTTGGCTGGTGGGAGAGGAAAAGTTGGTTTGAACCATGTGTCAGCCCGGTCAGTGTGACTGCGGCGCCGAGTTGGGTGAAGCCCACGGATCGGCTGTGTAGCATCATTCCCCACCGCGGTTTATTGTGTTTCAGCCACTAGACCCAACTTCAAGTCTGGCCTGTCTTAAGTTAAACAGCTAAGAGAAGCTCCACATGAAAAGTTTCAGGTGAGCTGAGCCAAACGCAGCATCTCTTGTCATTTCCGTGAAAGAAGGTAACTAAGCTACTCCAGAGCCACCTCCTTTTCCTGCAGCCCTCTTTTTATTAACGCTAATTGTTTTAGTAATTTCACTTGAGTTTGCGTGCTCGGTCACTCGCTGAGAAAGTTTCCAAGGACTGGGACTCCAGCTCCTAATGCCTGCACCAGGTGTCGGCTCATTAGCGTCCGGGTGGAAACACTCTTCAAGGGCCGCGTTAGAAGTTCACTCTGGAGAACGGGGCGAAGGCGGACGACTGAGCCTTGGCTTTAAGATTGCAGAGATATGTCGGGTCTCACTGTCTCTTGCTGTGGCTGAGACCACGTGCACGACTATAAAGGCCTGGCGTTAACACCGCTGCCTTTCCTATTGGAGTGAGGTCATGCAGACCCTTTAGTTTACCCGTGCATAAGAATAATTACAAAATCGCTCTGTGGAGTAATTAGATATTACATTCTCCCCTAAGTAGACAGTAATTTTCGACTCTGCTGAGTCCACGTGTTTCATGTTCTGTGGGCGGACAGAAACTTGGGGTTTCCTTACTGACCCCCGTCCAGGTTTGTCTCACTTTGTTAAGCTCAGACAGAGAAATGGGTCATCTCTGATGACCGGCCTGGATGTGATGGGAGGTGATTCAGCTGATGTAGTGCTGGGGACACACATTTTTAAAGGCACACTGCTGTAACTAGGCGATACAAAGTCATCTACTGTGTTTACAAAATGTGTGTGTGCCCCATGCATCAGCACCCTTGATAAGATGGCTGTGGTCTCAAGATTAGGAATACTGAAGGAGTCTCTGAGCCGGAACAAAACACAAAATTATTTTCCAGTACAGACCTCTACGGGAGACAGTGACCCTCAGAGAAAAGGAGCCGCAGGCTGCCGAGTGGCCCTCACACGTTGACATGATAGCAGAGAAGCAGATAAGAGAACAGAAACGAGTTCTAAGATCTCCTCTCAATGGCATTCAGTTCGTTTACACAAATGAACAGTGTGTCTTTGTATGAGGCATGAATACAAAGACAAAAAACATGTTTGCTGCCAAAGCCACCAATAAGATGCTTTCTGTGTTGTTCGATATTCAGTTTTCTGCGTGACCGAGGATCAGAAAGTGGTCTGGAAAAATTATTCTGTATACAACCCAAAGTCTGTGTTAAAATGTAACATCAAGTCTGTTGTATGCCTCTGGAGTGGGACATTTATACCAGAATGTATGTAGCATTTATAGTATTTTGAAAGCCCTCATAAATATTTGTATTTATAAAATAAAAGCACAGACACTAGATAGATTCTCAGCGATGTTTATGTGTCTTAAATTAGTAGTAGTGGGTGCTACATAATTATTTTGTAGTTACCATCCTCTGCATTCTGGGATCTTTTCTGTATCTTCCTATGGTTCCTCTTTAGTCATTGTGTTACAGAACAGACTGGAGCAGGGTGGGGGTAAACGATATACTATTACCAAATGGACCCACCCTTGGCTCCACAGGTCCCTACCCCATACTAAGTTCACTTAGCCTGCCACCAGAAAAAGATGTCTCTCAATGCCAGAGATTGGTAAAAAGGAAAGGGATTATTTATTTAAAGAGTTATACAAACTGAAGAGTAATGACTTAATGTCTCATTGAGATCCCAAAGTCCCTTAGAATACCCACAAACATACAGTTCTTCCTTCCCCCTCTGCCCAGTCTGGGGTACCATGTCTCAAAAAAGAAATAGAAGTCCATGGTGCTTCTCTGCCCAACCTGAGTGGTCCCCAAAAGACCCCACATGGCTGCTGCTCCTGGGTTTAAATCCCAGTGCCGATCTTCTTCTGCTGCACCATTTCCTACTCCTCCCACAATTGGCCACAGCTGCCAACATTCCCATATTTTTCCAGCTTTACTGGGCTGCCATAGTAAGTCCGGGCAGGTGTGGCTCTGTGGTTTGGAGCCAATCATCTCCAAGCTCTTATGCAGGCTCTGTAACCAGGGGGATTTGCCTCCCAGTTATATCAGGGGTTGAAGTCACTCCCATCCCCCTGCTTAAACCATGGCCACAGCTATTTAACATATCCATGAAACCAGTTAAAGGTTATAGATATGTTAAATGACTGTTCTAGAGGTTATCTGCAAAACTTGCTATGCAAAACAACTCTCAATGGCCCTGCTCCATGTGTCCCATCCCCTAGTTCAGACTTGTGGGGGTGAGGACATCCCATATTTTTAACATTTTCTGGACACCCTGAGTTCTGGACCCCATTACAAATCCCTGTTTGGCACCCCTGCCTTGGCTGCACCCTGTTGCAATCGGATGCATTGTGCTTTGCTGCCAACAGTGTGCGTACTAGGGACGTCACCGTTTCACACAGTTCTTCACCCACACGTCTGGAGCTTTTTCTGGTTTTATGACTTGCAGCTGCTGACTCTTGTGTCCCAGGTCCTATCTTGGCCCTCAAAAGAGTCATTTGAATACTGAAAAAGTTTTTGGGGAAAGTTGGTGTAACCTATGCACTCTGCCCTGTTCCTGATGCACCCAGGTAATGACTCTGCCCTCCAGTGAAGACTTTTACACTAGTGTGTGGTGGCCCCAGCTGTGAACCTGGGCATGCAGGTCAGTTCTGACCTTTGGGGTCCTGCTGCCTCTCAGCATGCAGCTTCAAGGAGTCACTGTTATTTTTTTCATCATTTCCTTGGTCATTTCTATGCTCTATAGAAACCTCTGATCTTGCCATGCCTTTGTTTCCCCTCCCCTCCCTCTGTCCAACCCTAGTTTCCCAACTTGTTTTTCTAATTATCTTCAACTAGACTGACCAGGAATTCCCACCCACTCCGTGCAGATCCCCAAGGGGTTGCAAGGAAAGGACACTGTGTAGGGAGCTGGAGGTTGCGGCACAATCATGGCTTCGGCTCTGCTCATAAGATGACATGTTTTCTACTGAAGGTAGCTAGGCTTTGATTGTCACAGAACCCCAAGTGCCCTGCATAGAATGACAAATGGTGAGTGTCACTTAAGGAACCTGCTTCTAAGTACTATGTACAGGTTCTTCTGTTATAATTGCAGCCCAGTTTTAAAGTACACGAGGATTTTATGAATGATTTATACAGTCACATTATGTACAGGAAACTTTGTTTTCAGGTGCCATTTACACTGAGAACACTTACTTTATAATAAATACACATTTTGTCTGAATAGAACCTTATGGTTTAAAATATCTTCATGTATTGTCATTTAATTAAATAAATTTCTTAGAAAATGTGTATTTTTTATTCTTCTTACTTATATAGTAAGTCCTCAATGCTGTCCATAGCTTCTGTGACTGTAAGAGAAATGACATATAAGAAAACAAGATCTATTGTCAGATAATTGACATAAATAAGAATTAGGATCCTATGGCATCTCATCAGTGTTATAATGAAATAACATTGAAGAAAATGATGTTATTGAGGACCTGCTGTAGTTGTTTGCTCTAACTCCACACCTAAAGGCTAGGGTTGGTTGGGTTATCCCCAGAGGGTATGGGAATCACTCTGGTCATCTCAGCAGACCTGCAGAGGGAGGGCTCCTGGGTCAATTCCACTTAATTCCGAAGGTCTGCCATCTCCGTGGCCTTTGACTCTGAAAAGAGGGTGCCGTGAGGCAGTGCAGACAGCATTGGCTGGAAACGGCAGCTGAGACGCCTTCAAAGTTTCACTGTGGGGCCACATAGATTTCTACTTTGTATTCCACCTGCTTTGAGCATTCTCTTCTAGTTTCTAAGGTTCGACAGCCTAAGAAGTCACATGAAGTAAGTGGGAAATCCCCCCGGGGTCTATTCTATGGTGGGCAGGAGCAGCCAATCTTTCTATGCTTGATGAAACCCACAATTCCCCCATCATCTGTCCTGGGTATTGGAATGGGAAATTGAGAGCCCATCATTCCTCAGCTCTTGGTGGCAGCTACTTGCCACAATCAGCCCCAAGACCAGACCCAAATGGAAGGAGCATCTTATACTACCAGAAAAGGAATTAATTCTTTTACTCAATAAGCCATGACACCTCAGTCTGAAGTCCCTTCCGACCATTGTCAAATTTGGCAGAGCCCCTCCCTTACCCACTGAATATCTGAACAGCGCACAGTGCCTGAAGATAGCAGGACAGGCACTGGCCTCCCCGTTTGGGGAGGGAACTGCAGAGAGGATGAGTGAGTGGACCAGTCACTCCAGGTCATCCAGGTGACACAGCTGGACGTGAGCAACCAGGTCCCAATAGCATGTTCGTTCTGGCACTTTCTAGTTCCACCTTCCAACTCAGAAGCCTCTTTCTTTCCAACCACGCTCTTAATCTACTCTTAGGCCTCTTCCCCATTCTACTTTGGGGCCCTTTCCACAGCTCTAACATCGTCTGTACTGTTGAAGGGTGAGAAAGTGAAGAAGAGTGCATAATAAAAGCTTGCTTTAGACTTAGGCAGGAAACCCCACCCAGCTAGGCGGCAGAAGATTTGAAAATTTTACCCCAGGGCATGACTTGACCACGAGCCCCAGAACCAATCACCAACCAGAGCACGAGCTGATCACGAGCTCTGCGGGCCAATCCTTAGTAAGACCACGAGCCCAGGTATAGCCCTGAGCCAATTGCTAACCACCACCTCTTGCTTCTGCAAAACTGCTTGCTTGCTCCGCTCCTATAAAAACCCTAGCTTGTAAGCGCCAGGCGTGACTCTCATTTGCAGCCATTTTGGCACCCGGGTTTCCGGAGACTCGCCTAGAGTTCGCCCCTGCGCAGGTAAAACCTTGAAACTTTGGCCAATGAACCATCTTTGACTACCCGACAGTCTCCAACCCTTCTTGACCCTTCTTGCTCGCAAGGACTGGATGTAACATTTTGGAGGCCCCAGCGAGATTTCTTTGGGCCGAGGACTGGACTGGCTGCTCGAGCACACGTAAGTAACGAGGATCCTCTTTCGGTTTTGTAAGTCTAGACTATCTGACTCTGAGGTAGTAGGTGAGACGTCGCTGGAAGTCCACCCAGGGGCTCCCAGAAGAGGGGACACCCTCGGGAGTTGCAACTAGGTCGCTTTGTGTTTAGTTTCGCTGTGCTGCGCTGCGACAAAACATATGCCTGAGAACCGCGGTTCGCCTGTGTATGAGAGGAGAGTGTATGATAGGAAATTGTGGTGTTTGGGACGTGTTTTGTGTTAGCTCTGGTTATTTCTTTTCTTGTTTCTGAAATTCCTAAGGTTGTCCAGCACTTCAGGATGGGCCAGAACGGATCAGTGCCTAGATCGCCCCTCGATTGTCTATTGAACAACTTTTCTGATTTTCAGAAGCGGGCTAGTGGGTACGGTGGGCCTCCGCCCAACCCGGAGTTCCTGCGGACCCTCAGCCAGATTGAGTGGCCGACCTTTGACGTGGGGTGGCCCAGCGAGGGGACTTCCGATCTTCCCCTCTTGTTCGCTGTCCGAGCCACGGTGTATCAGGTGCCCCATCCCGATCAGTTTGTCTGTATTGACGTTTGGGTAGATATAGCTACTGAACGTCCCCGGTACATTCGGAAATGCATGCAGGCCAACAAGAGGGGGAAGAGGGCAATTTGTATAACTGCGGGGCAGAGAGAGAGAGTAAAGGGGCGAGAGAGAAACCTGATGGGGGAAGGTCACGTGCTGCTGCCCCCGCCAGACCCAGGTTATACCCCGTACTGCCCGGTCAGCCTGAGGATCCCTTGGACCCAGCCCTCGCACCGCCCCATAGCCAACCCAGCCACTGCCAGACTCTTCCGAGGAGGGTAAAAGGATTCAGAGTCCGCCCCATACTCGAGGCGGCACTCAGTACGGTAGAGCGCGGGCCTTCCGGGCGGGGTGCGGTAGAGGGGCGGGCCTTCCGGGCGGGGTGCGGTAGAGGGGCGGGCCTTCCGGGCGGGGTGCGGTAGAGGGGTGGGCCTTCCGGGCGGGGCGGAGGCCGCGGCCGCCATTTTACCTCCTCGGACAGTGGCGGTCGTCTCACCGCTGCGAGAGGCTCCCCCCGCGCCGGATGCGCCACGGGCTCCCCCGCGCCTGATTTATGTGCCCTTCTCCACTAGTGATTTATACAGTTGGAAACACCAGAACCCCCCCTTCTCGGAAAAGCCTCAGGGGTTGATTTCCCTTTTGGAGACTATTTTTAGGACACACCAGCCCACTGGGGATGACTGCCAGCAAGTTCTGCAAACCCTGTTTACCTCAGAGGAGAGAGAGAGGATCATGAGGGAAGCAGCAAAAGCTATCATGGGGGAAGAGGGGGTAACTGCGGGAGGGAGAGGAGAGCTGGAGGATATGCTGCCCTCCCAACCCCCTAATTGGG